CCGGGGTCTGCCAGCCTCAAAATTGTTAAAAGCATGCTCCTCTCTGAAAATTATAATTATATCATTTCTTAAGCAAAAATCCAAATCTTCAAAAGAAAAAAAAACAGAAGATGAACATCTATTTGATATTGCTTCTCAAATCTAGAATCCAAGGAGAGGGTCTCAAGACTCAAATAAAACTTCAGCCTTGGTTCATTGATTTTGTTACAGGGCAGAATTGCCTCTTCTTCAGTGGAGGGTGGAACCTGTTTTGCTTTGTTCATTGTAAGGGGATTGATTGTCATCTCTATCTGGACTGCAATCAGGACAGGATTTACCAAGGTCAATTCAACTCTGTTCATCTATCACCAGGCTCAGCTCAACTCCATTCAACAATTACCAAACTCAATTCGACCCCACAATTCTTTATTAGTTATCTGCTACATACAAGACACCGTGAAGTTTTCCAAAATGAGTAAGACATGGCCTCTTCCCTTTGTTTTGTAGTGAAGCGAAAGAGATTAGGTGTAGAACATTGTGGCAGCCTAGAAATGGGTAGACAAGGACACAGCTGATAAAAATAGATGCTAGAGCAAGATTAATACTATAAGAAAAGTCAAAAGGGGAAAGAAAGAATGTATCTAAAGCTAGGAAAATTAGCTGCACTTTGAGGGAAATTCTTTCTCTGAAGCCATGGAAGTGAAATATGGGTGTGTTTAGACATAATAAATGGAACTCGGCTGGACATAGGAATTAAGAGAAATGCATGGAAAGAATGCTAGAAGTAGGGAAAATCCAGAACATAAAATTCTTTATCTCTTAAACCATACTTAATTTGCTGGGTGATAATGAACTATGAAGACCTTCTGTGAATGGAGAAGGAAATGATTGAGGTGGCATCTTAAGGAACTAAATCTCAAAACTGATTCGACTATAGATTTTTTTAATGGAAGCAGTGAGAAGTGTTGAGTTGATTTGTGCATTTCTCAACAATAATTAACTGTATCAAACTGAGGAGAGGTGAGCATGTGTGTTGCGATCTGCTTGCAGTGGGACTCAGATCAGTCCCCAGATCTACCCCAGAGGCACACAGGTGACTAGGAATACATACAAACACAGGACCATAAAAATAGTCCAGACCAACATGTTCAGTGACTGAAATCCATCCATGTATGCTCCAAATATGTACTTCATCTCCTACGCCATATAGCCACCAACCCTTACTGCCATAACCACCAGTATCTAGGTTTGTTTTTCCCCCAATGCAGGTCCTATGAGCCCATGCAAAGAGTTTGCCTGAGAAATGCTCATTAGGAAATAGGAGTGAGTTAAAAAAAAAAAAATCAGTGTGCCAGAAACAGGAATGGAAAGATTGTAATGCAGAAGACACTGCTATGCCAACAAGACTTCATTGATCAAGATCTTGCAAGAAATGTAAAGGACTGGACACGTGAAGAATTGACAGGGAGCTGGTGTATTTATATAGTTCCTGCCTTCTTTCCATTGATGATTGCCTAGGGATGATATCTTTAAACTCGGGTTACACTTGAGCACAGGCATACTTAGAGTGTCCTTGGTTGATAGCTGTCTCAGTTAAACTTGCCATTCACTTTCAAATACATTTCCAAAGCAGTTATCAAAGCCTAGGAGTATTAAATAACTGCATATCTTATCATCCCAATGCCACAGCTCCTACATGCTTCTCTACCCACTTGATGTACGAGAGACCTCTGAGTACTAGAGAGATGAGATATTTGTTAGGTTATAAACATGACATTTTCTTATAGTTTTGAGTTGATGCATTAAAGTATATGTCTCTTTTTTATATATAAACCAGAACTCATCATGTTTATCTGTCTTTTCTTGCATTAATTATCTTTCCATGCTCAATGTTATAAATATGCTCAGTTACAGTTTGTTTGATTACATTTAAGTCTTTTGTTCACCTAAAATTTAATGTAAGTGGTAAGTACCTTCTTCCAAGTGATTAATCATCTGTTCAATAGCATTTTTGAATAACTCACCTCTGTTCATGATTTGAAATGCAACTTTATGAAGAGATTGATGGATAGATGATGATAAGGGTGGTGGTGAGCATGGGGGTGGGGGTGTGTGATAGATGGACTCATCAATAGGGGTCAAACCATATTGAAATTGCCTGTTCACTTGTGTGTCTCCTCAACTAAATAGACGATGAATAAAGACTAAGTCTATTACATAATCAACCCTTAATTCGTGTTTCCTGGCACAAGAATCAAAAGTGAAACAAGCTAGGATTCATTTTGTCTCAATTGGGTTCTATAATAAAGGGCACTAGATCAAAGAAGTTTCCTGCCTAATTTACAGTCTGTCTTCGTTGGATACAAGTAGTTCTTCTAGATTGTTCTTCCAGAAAGAAAAAGCAAACAATGCATAAAAACCTTCAAACAGACAAAGATTACCAAAAACTTGTTGCCTTTAGAGTTTTTGTTTGTTTGTTTTTTGGCGGTCATGGGGGCTGAACTCTGGGCCTGGGTGCTGTCCCTCAGCTCTTCAGCTCAAGGCTAGCGCTCTACCACTTGAGCCACAGCACCACTTCCGGCTTTTTTTTTGTTTATGTCGTGCTGAGGAATCGAACCCAGGGCCTCTTGCATGTGAAGCAAGTACTCTACCACTGAGCCAACTTCCCAGCTCTGCCTTTAGATTTCATAGTTTTGAAGATCAAAAGCTATACCTGCATCACACTGGGTTGAAATAAAGGTGACAATAGGGCTACGTTTCTCCTGCAGGCCCTACAAAAGAACCATCCCAGGTCTCCAGGACACATGCATTCCATAGCTCAGGCTGCCATCTCCTTCCTTTCAAAGCCAGCAGTGGAGCATCTTCCCTCCTTTCTGCTCTCTACCCTTCTCTTCTGTTTTCTTCATGATTTTATTGAACCTGCCAAGAAAACTCACAGTAATCTGAAAGTCATAGATAGGTAGATAGATAGATAGATAGATAGATAGATAGATAGATAGATAGATAGATAGATAGATGGATGGATGGATGGATGGATGGATGGATGGATGGATGGATGGATGGATGGATGGATGGATAGATAGATGGCCAGGTAAGGATAAGTATGTACAAGGTCCAGAGATTAGGGTTTAGATAAATTGAGAAGGCCGTTTTTCAATCTACTATACCTACTTACTGATTGCTTTTCTTAATGCCTTGAGTTAGAATTATTTTTTCCCTTCTTGGAATCCCGTCAGCATCAGCATCTCTTACCTCTTACCTGGGACTTTTGAGAATGACTTTTAAATGTGGGGTTAATCTATCTCCGCTTAAATGTCAACCTCTTGGTGATAAAATTTCATACTGCACCTTTGCATGCAGGCAGGCCTCAAACTTGATCCATAACTTCCTTGCTTTCCTTCTGATTAAGGAAGGAGATCCATATTCAGGAGGCTGAGACCTGAGGATCGTGGTTCAGAGCCAGCCCAGGCAGGAAAGTCTGTGAGACTCTTATCTCCAATAAACGACTCAAAAACCAGAGGTGGCGCTGTGGCTTAAGTGGTAGAGTGCTCGCCTTGAGCTGAAGAGCTGAGGGACAGTGCCCAAGCCCAGAGTTCAAGCCCATGACCAACAAAAAAAAAAAAAAAAAAAAAGGAAGGAGATCCTGGGGCTGGGAAGGTGGTTCACTGGTTGAGCGCTTGTCTTGTATGGCATGAGGCCCTGAGTTCGATTCCTCAGTACCACATAAGCAGAAAAGGCCAGAAGTGCTGTGGCCCAAGTGGTAGAGCGCTAGCCTTGAGCTGAAGAGCTGAAGGACAGTGCCCAGGCCCAGAGTTTAGGCCCCATGACTGACAAAAAAAAAAGAAAAGGAAGGAAGGAAGGAAGGAAGGAAGGAAGGAAGGAAGGAAGGAAGGAAGGAAGGAAGGAAGGAAGGAAGGAAGGAAGGAAGAAAGGAAGGAAGAAAGAAAGAAAGAAGGAGATCCTACATTTCTAGCGAATCAGAAAACAGAAACAGAGGCTGGAGCCAGATTCCCCATCCAAATCTATGTTTAGCCACCTATTGGTGAGAACCTGCTCCATTTTCTTAGTTTTCTCAACAGTAGCATAAAAATAATTACAACAATTAGCACATATATTTATTCTATGAACTGAATACATGAGAATGTGCTTAAAGTGATGATTGGCATACAGCCACTCCAAATCATAAACTATTGCTTGTAATGTTATTATTAAGGACCTGGGAAGATAAATAAAGACCACAGAGCTGGACCACATCACAATTTGACATGGTAAATTATCAATACATCCTGGTTTTCATCGTCATCGTCATCATCATCCGTATTTAACCCAACTTGACTTATTGAAGTCCAATTGAATGAAGAAAAAGCTGTGTTTCAGAAAAAGCTGGAAGTGGCGCTGTGGCTCAAGTGGTAGAGCACTAGCCTTGAGCTGAAGAGCTGAGGGACAGCGCCCAGGCCCAGAGTTCAGGCCCATGACCTGCAAAAAAAAAGGAAAAGAAAAAGCTGTGTTTCAAAAGTAGGAATGTAGTGAAATGTACTCAATTTTGGTTGTTCTCCAAAGGCTCAGTATGTCACAGAGTTAAAAATATATTCAAAGTTAAGAGCATTAACATGGGCAGCTCTTGTTTCACTAATGAAATAATACTAGTAACTTAGGGATGTTAAATATTTCAGTGTTTTTTTTAAAGTATTATTTTGATGTTTAGCTCCAGGCAGTATCTAACAACCTCATGGTTCTTTGATTCCTCACCAGAATATTGTCATCTTTATTGTATCAAAGCATTTTAGTTCTTGATATCACAGGATCTTCAGAGTTACTCATTTGTTTCCCAGGCAAATTAAGTGATTTTTCCTTCCCCCAAAGAATGATAGTAAATAGAATAGAAACTTGTGGAATCATCTTCCTCTCTCTCGCTAGTGAAGCAACAGCAGAGCAGTGCAGCCTATCAGCTGTTCCAAGTTCCTCAAATTGAGTTTTACTTTTGCAAAATGAGCCCACTGACTTCCTATATTCGGTGAGCTGCATCATGAGCAACATGACTGGCAGCCACGCTTGTTGCAATTTTTTAAATATGTGGAAAAAAAGCAAAATATCGACCATGTATTACCTGAACCAAGATGCCAAACTATCTAACTTGTTTCTCCAGGCTAGCAGTCCAACCACAGGAGCAGCTCCCAGGAGCCATTCCAGGTTGTCTGTCTGTCCATCCACACAGGACATCTGCAGGTAAGTGCTGAGCCAATGACGTTACTCAATGTCTCTTAGCACAAATGTCTGGTGTTTTTCTTTTATATTCTGAGAATGTGTGGCTCTTACTTCAGCTTTACGTTTTCATGACAATTTGTACTGGCTTAATTTTATTTTCCTTTTAATTCATTTTCTTCTGTTGATCTTCATTTACCAACTTCTGGTCATGCTCTCACTTCTCATCATTCTCTCTTTCTCCCTGTTTTCCATGACTTTCCTCTCCATTCCCATTTCCCATCCTTTACCTGCTGCTACATCTAGATCTGCCACCTTGCATGACATGTCAGAAGATGCATTTGAGCACTGCACCCCTGTCGTGGTGCTGACCCCTGCTAGGAAGGAATCTGGCAAAAAGCCAGTAAAACAGAAGCCTAGGAGGAGGCGCAGGGCCTCTGAGAGATACGAGCATGCAGAAGAGCGAACCAAAGAGAGAAAAAATGACTTTCACCTCCCCATCGCAAGTCCCAGGTGGAGGGAACTTCATAGAGATTCTTCAGGTTCATCTTCCACAGATGAGAGTCAGTGGATTCAGGCCAAAAGGAGAGCCCAGGTTAAATTCCGATTGTCACGAAGAAGGCGAAATAATATTAAATCAAGCGGAAACTTGGCTGGTTCTTCCACTCCGAATGGAATCAAACTTGTGGAGCTGGGATCTGAAAGGGTGAAGCCGCGGGAGCTGACGGAATGCGAGAGGTGCTCTCTAAACCTCTGCAAAGGAAAAGTGACCAGGTACCGAGCAGGCAGCTCTTCACAGCCCAGAGGATCCTTGGAGGCCAAGAGACCTTCAAGGATCCATCAGGGAAGCAAAGGCGGAGGCTGCCACAGTGATGATCAGCTCTTGCACACACTTGGGCACCGTGAACCAAGCGGGAATAGATTTGCAGCAATGGATTCCAGCACTGAAATCTTGACGGTTACAGAAGGCGGCACGTTTGCAGTTGACACGGGGTTGCAGGTGAATAGCTCTGTTCAGACGCCTCCTGATGCCCATCAAAAAGGGGCCGATAATTTAAAAGTCTGCAGGTCAGTAACTGTGGTAGAGAGAAAGAATGATGTCATCCCAACCTCCTCCTCCTCCTCCTCCTCCCTGCTGTGAGTTAGGCCCACAGAGGTGACCCAGCCCTGGAAGATAATGTATAAGCAGGTTGTCGTTTGTCTGACTGGATCTAAACACAACTGACTTGGGAAAAGACGAGTAAGAGAATAATCCATGGAATTGACCAAGTGTCTCCTAGTTTGTGGAAGAAAGAGAAAGGCGAGCCCTAGTTGTTTAAAGCAAATCTGATGAACTGATCACCTATGTTAAAAAGGCTAGGGACCATCAAGGTCAGGTTTTTTTTTTTTTCATCAGAAAAACCGTCTCTGCTGTTGTCTCTAATTTGTTCCCCAACTGCCTGACTCAGCAGGGTAACTCGAGGCTGAAAGGACGCGGACACAGGTCATAGACACCACAGTGGGGTGGCTGGAGCCTCTTGGGAAGGACAGTCCTTTTAATATGTATACATTCCATTGCTATGAAACTGTGATCTTGGACTGTTAAAGCCATTGCATGCACTTTCCAAGTAACAGTGTTGTGGGTTTTTTTTTTTTAAGCCCATTTGTAGGACTATCTGTACCAGTAGGCAAAAATGAGGAAATTTTAAGCAACCCAAATATTTCAAAACATTCCTATTCTGCCCTATCATGTGAGCTGTTTGGATCCTATTGGAGAGCAAGTGGAAAGTTTTCTGGCAGGATGCGTGGTGGCTTGGGTGTGTGGTTGTACAATGTGAAGTTACGTTATAAAGCATGTTATGCCTGTTTTATATGAATCACATGTCGCAGAGAATGTGGTCCTGGTCCATTCCTGGCGGGAGCAGGTAGAAGGAGGCTCTGATTGTGAATAACTGGTTCTCCGAAAGTTCTATAAGTCAGTTATTTTAAAATGTTAGTGCACTGATTCATCTCAGCACTAACTGTGCCTTGGGCTTTATTTGAGACATGATCGTATTTGGATTGTTTATGGCATGATGGAGCTTCTAATCTAAGGGGGAACAAGATATCAATATAAAAATTACAATTGTTATATATCTATAATCATGATAAGGAATTCAGGAGTTTGTAACAAGGAGGCTTAACTTCAGTCTGGCTAATTAGAAAGGGCTTAACAAGAAATACAAAACAGCCAAAAGATCAAAAGATGACAGGAATTGATCAAGTGCAGAATCAGGAAGAGCATACAAGCAGGGGATGTTATAAGCAGGAAGCTAGGATAAGAGGAGGAACTTCGCAGGCCAGGGAACTGAAAGCCTACTATTGTGGCCAGGGTGTGGTGAGGGAAGGGGCTGGACCGTGAAGATAAGGATGGAGAAGCAGACCTGGCCAAATGAAACACGCTAGGGAATTTAAAAGGATATTTAAAAGTAAGGTGACACCATGATGGTTTGTGTATTAGTGTCAGTTACTTATAACCTTTTGAAATATGATTAATATGTGGCTTTTCTGTAAAGTTAGGGATAGGCCAAACAATATATCTGCTCTAAACTAAGAACTCCCTAACTGTTGTTATTTCTCCTTCCTACTCGTAACATAATCCAACATAAGAGAGCCAAAAGAAACTAGCTTTAAACGTGATGGTAATAGGAGAAAATACTGTTTCCAATCAAAACCCCTTCTGCGCAACTGCTGCACTGTAGAACCATTTGCAAAGGCATTGTTTTCCTTACATTTCTATAAACAGTGCTCGTGATGGGCTTAGTGGCACTGTTTCCTTCTGTGAGTTAATATACTAACTAAAAAGTATGATGGACAGTAGATTATGCTAGGTGCTGAACATAAAGTGGGGGCAGAGATGAGGTTTTTCATGTCAGTGCCTGATTTCTAAGTGGTGAAACTCATTGCACCTCTGAAAAAAGGTAAAGACAGCAGAAGGTGAAGCTAAGAAGATATACTCTGCAGGAATTTGCAGAAGGAAAATGATTCAAGGTGAGGTGGCTTAGAAGCCCTTCAGAAGATGAGGGACTAGAGTTGAAAAGTCGAACTGAGATTAGATGAAGTGTATGAGCCATGTTTCAGATACTCAGGTCAGAGGAAATACCGTTATCAGGTGAAATGTGCTTGTGACTCACGTTGCCTTTAAGAATGTATTGTGAATTTGTGTCGCCAGGTTAGAAGGCTCATAGAAACTAATAGCAACCAACTTTTAAGGCATTTTGAAGAAAATATAGTGTCATTCCAAGTTGTATACTACTATTCTGTATTTCCTAGTAGACTCAATGAACTGCATCATTTCAAGGTTTTGCTTTAAAAGAGGAAGGCAGAAGGCAGGAGGGAGGAGAGGAGGTTAGCCTATCTTCAAAGAATGTTCATGATTGCCACTTTGAACACGGGGGCCTTCCACAAAGACAAACAATTCATTAGTTAGGAGGGGTGTGTCTCCTACCAGTAAATCCCAACTACTTGTAATGCAGAGGTCAGAAGGATCATACTTTGAGGCCACCCTGGACTAAATGTTACCAAGACCCTCATCTGAACAAATAAAATAGGTATCATAAGAGCAATCTGTAATTCCAGCCACATGGAGGGAGGGGTACAAAAAGAAGATTACAGTTTTCAGCCTACCTGGATAAGGGATAAGACTCTATCTAACACATAACCTACAGTGAAGAGGGTTAGATATATAGCTCAAGTGGGCATCACCAAGAAATAAGGCCACAAGTTAAAACCCCCAGAATCATGAGATGTGGAAGGAACAAACATAAACCCTGTTGCTTAAAAAGACTTACTGAAGAATCCCATAGCATAGCCACCCCTGTCTCTGAGGGGTGCCAAGTGCTGACAAAGCATCCTAGACTTAGCAGGAGTTTGGATAGGTATTCTCTACTGTGAGTTGAATAGGATACCACGATAAAGGGACATGGAAGCAAAGAATAAATGGTATTTTTCTATTCCACCAAATGAAAAGCAACAACCTTTGTGGTAGATTTGGTGAGAGCCCAAGACAAATGGATCAGATGACTCCAAATCCTTTGCTCGGGAGAGACAAACAATGATAAGGTTGTGAACATGTGGAAGAGAGGTCAGAGGTCAGTGGACTTGAGAAAGACATGATGAGTTTAACTATAAGCAGATCAGTTGATGCCAATGGCTTTCCAGCGTCAGCTATCCACAGACTATACGTGGCATGTTATTGAAATCCAGGGGAGCAATCAGACCTGGAGAAATATAATGTTTCATCATTCGTGAACTATACACAGTACATTAATCGGTCGCATCTATGGGATTGTTTGTAGTAACATGACTCACTGACCCTGAGAAGTAGATATGAAACATGGAAATTCTTCTCATGACTGGGGAGAATAGTTATTGTCCTTAGGGAGGTGACAGCAATGATCAGAAAGGAGTTATTACAAGAGATCATATGAAGGAGACAAGCCTGCAGATTTACAATCTGGGTCTCCTGCATGGGAAGGAAGCTGGCTGTGAGGGAAGCAGTCCGAACTTGCACTTCTGCTGATTTAGACACGCATAGACAGGCACAGGCTCTGCCACAATAGCAAAGCGGAAGCAGCTCCTGGGCCCTTCCTCCTTTTCTGTTCCGGGCATTTAGTCCCCACCTGGAGACTATATCCGCTTTCATACCCTCCTCACTGCTTCCTTCTGAGCAAAACCTCTCATAGCCAATTGTAACTTAGGATTGAAATCACCCTGCGATTACATCTCTACCTGTGTGCCATGGGGAAGTCTTTGCTCTTTTTGATAGACTATTTACATTTAAAAAAATATGGATCAGACCATGTCAGGGCCTGACTGAAACTTCTCAGTGGCCTCTGCATCGCCCTCCCCAGAAGGTGTGCAATTTTTCTGAAGATTTTCATTCTGCAGGTACAGGATTTCCCTGTCAGCTCTGCCTCCTGAGCTGGACTTTTCTGCCCAGGCTGGCTTCAAACTGTGATCCTCAGATTTCAGTCTCTTGGATTAGACATGTGATCCACTGGCATCCATCGTATAATTTTTATTTTTTAGTGGTACTGACATTTGAACTCAGGGCCTCATGCTTGCTACCTGGCCACTGTTCATTTGACACACATTGCTTTAGGTGTTTGGGTTTTTGTTTTTTTTTTAGATTTATATTCTTGCCCAGGCCAGGTTGGACTACAATCTTCCTATTTACATCTGAGTTACCAGATTACTTACTGGCCAAGATGACAAGTATGTGCTATTGCACCCAGCTTGTTGGATGACATAGGCTCTTGCTACCTTTTTGCTCAGGCTGGCCTCACCCTTCATTCCTCCAGCTGTCTGCCTCCTGAGTAGCTGGAATTACTGATTTGAACAACCATGCCTGGCTCATAGCCTAAATTTTTATTACTTTTAGTGATTCATTATGCCAGACTTGATCACTACTATATCCAAAACATCTGAAGCAAATTCTAGCAGACAGAACATGCTTGGCACATCATTTTTGAATGAATAAATGCAAGAAAAATTAATTTTTCAGAGAGGCTTACTAGTGAAATCATAATCTTGAGCGCTAGTGACTGTCAACACTGACTGCAGAATGTGTTAACATAAAGAGCCCAGGTCACTTCTAACCTTCTGTGGATTCAGTGGCTGGACCAATGAAATTTGAACTTCTAAAATCTTCTTAATGATCTAGTGCTTCTGAGGCAGGGACTACACCTTGAAGGAGACAGTTTATGACACAAATTCTCCTTCTTTGAAGTAGGAAGATAAAGGAGAAAGAGGAACTAAAGAATGAGTTGGGGAAACTAAGTGATGTCTGTCCCTAGTTTGCTATCATGTTCCCTGGAATGCTGATTAGAGAACTCAGTTAACTTCACAGGGTTTCACCAGAGCAGCATGAGTCCTGCCACTAAAACCATGAGCTGACTGAGTCCCTCATTTTTTTCCAAGAACCCAGCACTCATGGTTGGGTGGGCTGCTTCCACCCAAAACCACTTCCTCATCCCAACCCCTCCCATTTCCACCCTGGATCCCATAGATTTCCCCGATCTCTCAGATTTCAATTCTCATTCTTCTGC